CTGATTCAGGGCGGCAGGCAGGGCCGGTGCTACCATTTAGGCAAACTAGGCAGTTGCCTAGGGCGCCAAGATTTGGGGGCGCCAAAAAGCGGTGCCCCCAATTTTTTTTTACAGCGTTCCTACGCCCCCTCCCCGAGCGCATGGTAGCCGCTCCACTTCTCCTGCCTCCCAGGCTTGCAGCGCCAATCACCTGTTTGGCGCCGCAAGCCTGGGAGGGGAGGAGAATTAGAGCGGGGGCGGCGTGCTCGGGGAGGAGGCGGAGCAGAGGTGAGCTGGGGTGGGGAGCTGTCGCACGGCTCCCCGGGGGGGGAAGCTGCCGCGGGGGGGGGGTAGGGGCGCCTCAGGGCAGGGGGGAGGGCGGGGAGCTGCCGCAGGGCTGGGGGCGGGGGGCACAAGGTGGAAGTTTCGCCTAGGGCACGAAACTTCCTTGCACCGGCCCTGGCAATACCTTGGTCAAAGAACTGCAATATCTGAGTCCAAGTGCCACATTAGCACCCTGTTTACTCTGAGTGCTTACTTTGAATGAGCAACATGCAAGAACATGAATGAATCTGCTTCCTCATGATCTGCCTCGCGCTTTGGTATTGCAGAATGGTTGCCAGGCACTGCTTCCACTTCTTGTGCGAGGTGGTGAAAGCCACCAGCAAGGTGCACTTCCTGGCCAGGTGACCATCTCTGTTCACACTTTACGTTCCAGTCACTGAGAAGAAAGTTTGCAATGTTAGATTTATTCTTTGAATTTGATGCCATCTTCAAGTGTTGCTTTGGTAATGGTTGTTAACACAGCAATCAATCACATTATGTTTTCTGCTTTTTACTTAATTGCTTTTTATGAATGGGAGTGTTTTTCATAAAAATAAATCCTTGGGGTTTTTTTAAGTGCTCATCGGCTCCGGCTGCATATTCTCCAAAGTAATATAATTCCCTGTTTGTTACCACACAGTCATTTTGGCAGTTGCCTATTGTGCTAACACAAACAGGAGATTATGGCTTCAGGGCATGACTAAGAAGCAGGAGCCGTTAGAAAAGTATGCTGTTTTTATGCATAAATCCTAAATACGAGTGAGATACGGAAAACATGAGAGGAAAACAGAACTGATTTTAAAGGCGCAGTGTCAACTTGAACTATGTTTAACTCTTCGTGAATCTTAAAAGATTTCAGGCTCAACACTCTTCCCTTACGATTTTATTTTATTTTTCTTTGCTATGTGTAACACGCACACAAACAGCAGAACAAACTGGCTCCACGCAAAGTACTGTCCAGCATATTTGTTCCTGCTACTCTATTTAAAAGTGAGTTGAGGTGATGCTTGTAACATTAGTGGGTAAAAAACAGTTCAGGCAGAAATGTGGGGGTTTTTAAAGTTAGTATTTCTTTAGAAGGCACCATGACCTAGTGGACATTGCACTGAACTGGACCTAGGAACCCAACTCAAGATTTTTGAATGCTTGGGGATGGCAGTACTGATGTCTTCTCTCATTCACAAACGTTCTTTGTATCTCAGCAAGGATCTAGATTTGTGCCATTGGACATGGACTGGTACTCTACTTTAGAGTCTTTGATGCATGGCTAACTGGGATTTAAGCCAGCATTTCTGGAGGCAGGAATTATTCAGAGCACACTTGTGCAGTGCATGCAGTTCTAGTGACCTCTAGGGACTGGAGTGTGGTATGACCATTGCACTATTAGTACAATCTGAACAGCTGCTCAGCGTGAGATCAAGCAGTGCCTCTTTTTAAAGCCAGAGGCCAATATGCTACTTTCCACTGCTGCAACCGCTACTTTCCACTGCTGCAATGACTTTCACTCAAGGATCTCAAAGAACTTTAACCAAGGTAGGTAAGAAATAATACCTCCATTTTACAAAAGAGGAAGCCATAGCTCAAGGCAGGCCACTAGTTTACCTGTGGTCACACAGTGAGTCACCAGCAAAGCTGGGAATACAACTCAACTGAATAAAAAAGAGATGCTGACTGTCAGCTAGATGGCTGTGTGTTCTGACCAAGTTCTTTATTATAATTACAGCTACTTGAAACCAGATGAGGACAAGAAATCAAAGCACAAGACAGCAGTGAAAAAGAAAACACTAAACCCTGAATTCAATGAGGTACTTTTGCACCACACTGTATTTGATAGCTGTTAAAATGCTGCTCTCTTTGATGAGCGCCTCATACATCAAGACGATAGGCCTATAAATCACATCAATTTCCCCTGCTGCGGGACATCCAATCATATTCTGTTTCTGCTTGCCTTTCTAAATACTTCTATTGCAATCTGAGCAGTGAATAAACACCCCTCCTCTGGCTGGGATCCTTGCATCTGCCACCCCCAATGGGTCTGGTGTAGAGGCACCTTATCCTCATCTCAGTTATGGAAGTGGACACAAGTCTGGTTTGTGCAGTTGTATTTTTCACATGAGCTCAGTGGTTATCTAGCCTGACTCATGCTAGTGCAGCTGGGTGCACAGCTTTTGCTTTATCTGCTTTGGTACTTCTATGGCCCCACCTCCATCATATCCAAGCATCTGACCGTCTTTAATGATTGATCCTCCTCACTTCTGCGAGGTAAAGAAGTGCTACTAATCTTCATTTTACATGCTGGAAACTGAGGCCCAGAGCCTCAGTGGTATTTAGATGTCTAACGCAGGTCAGGGCCTAAGGGACTTGCCCATGATCATGCAGGAAGGTAATAGTAGAGCAGGGAATTAAGCCCCAGTCTCCCAAATTCCAGACTTGTGCACTCACCACTGGACAATCCTTCCTCATTCACCTACTTCTGTTAATGCAGGTGACAAAGAAACCTTGCTGTGCACCACTTGCTAGGTCTCTCCGTGGTAGGACCACCTGGAAAGGCCAATGGGTGTCAGTCATATACAATTAAAGCTCTCTCCTTCTCAATCGCCCGCTACACAGAGCGTAAGCATTGGCTCATGATTCACCTCCCTTTGCATATGTTTCGTCATTGTTAAATGAGAATTTCCCTGGCCCAGAAAACAAATGACACCGAGGGGCATATGCAGTGATCCCAGTAAGTAGATGCAATTCTTTATGCACTAGCTCCTCAGAGCCAACTGCTCCTCTGTTCCACCCAGCTGACATGCTCTGCAAGCCACTCAGTCAGTCCTATTAAATAGCACCTTCAAACCTTCCTTGTTGCTGTAGCTTACAAGCATTTTCTGTGAAACATTTTGATCCTTGCATTGGGGATGCTCTGTAAAACCACACTGCACTGCGCTAGCATAGCTAGAGTTTTGGAGATGACATGCTGCCTCCTGAATTTGGTTTCTTCTCCCCAACAGGAATTTTGTTATGAAATAAAGCATGGTGACCTGGCAAAGAAGACCTTAGAAGTCACTGTGTGGGATTATGACATTGGAAAATCAAATGATTTTATTGGTAAGTAAGATACACTTGAAGTAAGTTTAAAGCTGCTTTGGGCATGTGCCCTTTAACATTAATCAACTAAGGACTTGTCTATATGACCACTTAGTTTTGCGGCAAGCAGGAGTAGAAATCTAGCGCACTCTAGCCTGCCCACATGGACCCTGCTGCCACACACACAAATTCTGTTGTGCACTTTGCTGCCTTGCTTTGAAATGGGAGTAGATTAAAGTGCCCCAGTGAACTTGTATGGCAGGCGGATGTAATTCCCTCGCACTAAGCATTCATGTAGACAAGCCCTTACACTCAGCTCTGGCTTCCCACTCTCCTGTAGGACGAGCCTGTCTCCACTCCACCTTGATTTTCAAAGCCTTTTCTTCTGAAAGCCAGAGACGAGTGAAAGTGGAGGCTTAATATGTCTTTGTTGAATGCAAAAGCTTCAAACCACCTTTACGGTATTTAGTGGTCATTTTGTTTGTGGCCATAATGATTTACGGCCAAGGAGAGTTCATTACCTCCTTATGCCTTTGGAATCAGAGGGGCATTTGCAGTCCCGCTCTGGGCGATCCTTAGAAAAGGACAGGCTGTTCCAGCTTCCATCTTTGCTACTCTGAGCACAGAATACTTTGGCATGGGATTTAACGGACTTTCCTTTTCTTGGCTAGATCCTAGCCCAACCCCTCCCCACATACAGGGACCTGTTAAATCAAGATGGCAACAAATTAGACAAACAAATCACTTGTCATTTCACATTGTTGAGAGTATTAAACTCAGAGGAGGGGGGCAGCATCATAAAGGCAGCATGGGACAGAGGCAAGCCTGTTAGCAGTGCTTGAAAGATGTACTCCTTCCTCCACGCCCAGCTCTAAGTAAGTGGGGCCGGGATAATCTCGCCAGGAAGCTTTCATCTACCCACTGATCATGCTCGCTAGTAGCCATCACCCACCCACGCTAAAAGGAAGAAAATGTACCTGTGTGTGAGAGTGAGGACTCCCTTGCCACTTGCCCCTCTAAACAGCTGTTTCCAATAGCTACCAAGGAGCATGGAAAGCTTTGCAATGTCACACTGCATACATCTCGCTGGATAGCTGAACAAGTGTCAGTAACAGACTTCTCTGTCTGTCTTTACTGGCACAGCTTGGCTTACCTCTGTGGAATGAGCTGACTCTCTCTCTCTCTCTCACTCTTTCTCTCTGCTAAGGTGGAGTAGTGTTAGGAATTAACGCCAAAGGTGAGCGGCTGAAGCACTGGTTTGATTGCCTGAAAAACAAGGACAAGAAAATAGAGCGCTGGCACACACTAACGAACGAGCTGCCGGGGGCCATCCTCAGCGATTGACCCTAAAGACAGGCCCGGGACCCCGAAGATAGCCCAGCTCTCTCTCACAACCAGAACCAGGAACAGTTCATGCCTTTGGACTTCTAGTTTACTTACTACATTAAAAGGGATACTAAGTCAGCAAGAAAGAGTGGCTTGGTCAGGCTGCAGGGAAATACCACTGAACAAGACACAATTGATTTTCTCTGTTCAGTGGGTGTGCTCCCCTCGGGTTTTCTCCTAGGTGTCTCTGAGCACCCCCTCTCTCCAACACACACATACACACGGTCAATTGAGAGAAAACAGGCCTGCATGCACTAGAATTGTGACTTATTTGCTAACTATTTGATATACTGAATTATCTTCTTGCTGCCTTGCAAAATGAATGGATCACTTTTTGTTTGTGTAGCTACTATGAGCAAAAAGCATTATTAAACATGGAACTATTTTACTGAGGCGACTGTGCCACATTTCTGGTTGTCAATTTCTGTGGTTTGGGCCTGAACAGTCTTTATGCACTTAAACACTACCTTTTGGAATGATCGTCTTCTCCAATAATCTATAAGGACTGTTTGCTTTTCTTTCAGAAATGTAATGCTTGTTCTGTCTGATAATCTAGATGAAGTATACCAGTATGCTAAAAGGGCTGTGCAGCTATATAAGGCAATAGCTTCCTTATATATGTCCACCTGGGAACGGTAGGCACGTGCAGCCTCACCAGGAATAATACAAGGCTTCACATTTGCTAAGAGAAGTTTTGATATTTAAGAAAGATCAGAAAATCAACAGACAATTCCATTCCAGCACTTACTCTTGCTCTATTACAGACAGTGGGACTTCACACTAGCACTTCCATGCAGCTGCTATTTTTAGGAAACCATGAATCTGCCTTTCTTCCTGTCAAACAGCTGGTTTGAACAGGACTATTTTTCACTGAAACTTACCTTCAGATTTTACCGTTAGTGCAAACATTTCATTCCGGTTAGTGAGAATGAACAGAACCCCCGAAGACTTGCCACTAGCTAGAAGGGCAAGAAGAGGCAGACTTGATGCTACAGTAAGTGCCATGGGTCAAATTCTGCCTTTGGTTACATGCACAACAACTTTCATGGACTCCAGTGGGCATTACACACGTGTAAGGGACAGAGAATTTGGCCTTGTCTCTTCCTTTATTCAGCCTTCGTAACAGTGTATGTAACTCCATAACTCCCCAGGTAGGCCAATTATCCATTCCTTTCTACAAATCTGTTCTTTGCATCGGTCTGGCTTCAGTCAGTGTCCAAAGACTTAGGCCCTGATTTTGCCCCACTGACACCATCGGTAGTTTTGTGGGAGAACTATCAATCCCTGGTGGAATGTGCAAGTCTGAGTTATTGAGAGGGATCCAATTGAATAAAAAGCTCATAGCTCCCAAACCAAACTTCTCTACTCGGCCAGTCACACCATACACTGGATCAAAGTTTCCTCTCTTTCTTTCATTAACCACACTGTTCTATTTTCCTGACCATGTCCAAGACAGTTCACAAGTTTTTCTGCAAACACAAGAAGTCACAAATGAGCTAAACTAACTGCAAAATGCTGCATGTTGTCAGAATTTTCAGAAGCCTTTAACACATGCATTATTGAAAAGGTTCATAGTTACATTCAAGTCTTTACTCTCTACTACATAGTAATTCATAAACATGTATTTTTGGGCTGAAGACCACTTTGGGGATCAATCAGATCTCTTTAGACCTACATTTATTTTTCAAAGTTATAATAATAGTACACCTTGTTAGATATGGGAAAACCTTCTTAGGGTCTTTTTAACAATGTAATATTTGTAGTGAATTATGCAGATATGCATGAATTTTATTTGAATGCTAACAGTGTGTCAAGTTAGATGATCTCACCAATTCTCTCTTGCCCATGTATGTTACTTTTCCAGCACTTTAAAATATAGCAGGATATTTAGGGCTTGATTTCAGAAGTGCTGAGCCCCCACAGCTCTTACTGGAGTCCATGGGAGCTGCGTGTGTTCAAGGGCTCTGATAATGAGGCTCTTAGAATGGCCATGAATAATAGGGACTCTCCCTTTTTGTCAAAGTTATTTTAAAAGTACCGTTTGTTTAAGCATATATTTTGCCATTACGCTAGTTTATGCCTAATGTGGAGTGGGACATAACGTGTGCATTTTTTCATTTTGTATTTGTCTTTTTTAACTGGGCTGTATATAGAAATTGCATGCAAGATGGTTGTTGTCATGCAAGAACTTGTTAAATGTTTGATACCAATGTTTTGCTACAATGTGAAGGCTGCAGTAATTGTCCTTAACTGCATCCTACAAGAATTTTGTATTTCAGTATTATCTACGTGTACTTATTGTTGGATTTGTTAATATTTATAAATAGAACCCAAAATAAAAAGGGGGAAAAAAAGGTGAATTCTAAAGGTTCAGCTTCTGAGTCTCCCCCTATTTGTACAGTAATCACGTGCTCAGTCCACTATGCCGCATTTCAAACTCTCAGATGCTGGAATGACAACGAAGATGACACAGACTTTCACCTCCTTTGAGGTTGTGTCAATTTTCACAGGCACTAGACGAATCATTTAGGATTTTATGCACTTTTTTTATGGTCTTACCTTTTCAGAGCACTTCAGGGGCAAAAATTGCTCAGTGGCAGCTGATTCTACCTAGAAAAAAAAAATGTTTCTTTTGCCAGTTGTAAAACCAAGGGCCAAATCCTGCTTGTTTTGCTCATGTGAGGAATCCTACAGAAGTCAGCCGAGTGAAGAGCAGGATCTGGCTTCCAATTTGTAATGGGACAATGTTGGAATGTTACAAGTGCATCACTAAAAAATGTTATTGTTTTGCTTCCTTAGGATTGTTTTACAAAACATACTGACCGCGACAGAAACTCAGAGTAGATATTCTCTGTGACATTACAAGTACCTGCTGGGTTCAAAAAGAGTTATGAATCCACCTGGGGGCTAAGCAGCAGGAGTAGATGAACTAAGCAACAAAGAGGCATTTCCTAGTGGGGAAAATCAAAGGTGCAAAATTAAAACCAAGAGCAGAGCGAGCTAATGGATTAATTTTTGGAGTTGGAACATCTGCATTTTAATCTCAGCTCTGCCGGTGGCTTGCTGTGTGGCCTTGGGCAAAGTCACTTAGCTGCTCTCCCTCTGCTTCCCCTTCTGTAAAATGATATTTATCTACCTCACTGGGACAGTGTGAGGTCTGTCCATCGCTTTGAAAAATTAAAGCACTACAATTGTGGGGAAAAAACCCAGAGTGGGGTTCAGAGGTTTCCACTAGTGTCACTAAAAGGAGTTATTTGGTAACATTACCAGGGAGGCATTTTAAAAGGAATATGGCTGCTCTGAGAGTGCTTCAGTGCATGGGTTGTTGTTTTTTTAACCAAATGGTACAACATACTCTGTGGCTCTTAAGATGATTGATAAATAATATTTCCAATATGCGGTAAGGAATGCAGTGAAAAATTTGTGAATTTCCTGTTCAAATAAAAGCTACATAAATGAGCAAGGAAATATTTCTAAAGTCATTTTATACAAAAGATGAGATTACAGCTACCTGTGGAATTCTACTTTGAGCTGAGTTCTGTAGATTTGGAAGATTTAACTTTATTTGCCAAGGGTTTATATTCAGAGTTCAAGACGCTGAGTAGCTAAATTGGTACCAGAGGTGAAGATCCTATTTAGAGGGTGGCATCTAGCTTAGGGAGCACTGGCTCTTTAACAATACTAGCCTTTTTTATTCAGCATCTCAAATGAAGGCAGTAACTTTGAATTTCAAACCTTCTACTGAATATTCTCAAGAGTCCCTTCTCATGAGTCCTTCTTTGTTACTGAATATCAAACTGCATGTGTTTTCCCATCAGTGTACATAGGACCAACTTATCAACTGCCTAGCCTAATACAGGATATGCAACTAATTGTATACTAGATTTGGACACTTAACTCATCTTGGCTAGCTATCCTCTGTTTGTTGCAAAGTGCGTGATTGTGTTCTTACAAAAAAGCTCCAGTTGCAAATCAGAAGTTTATGTGGCGATTCACAGCACTGTCAACTGCTTCCTGTATTCACACACTCTATAGACAAAGAAATAACTGAGCATTAGGTTGTTCTTGATATTGCTTAAAATGAGCTAAATGACAACAACAAAAAAGTCAGTGTCTATGTTTACACAGCTACCCCAAATGCATTGCAGTTTCCAACAGTTAGTAGAGATTTTCCAGCCAGCCACAGCAGATTCTCAACTATTCAACAGTCAGCTCCATAATGCAGATATTTACTGGATTGTAGAGTAAGTATGTTTTTAAAAACTGACAGACTGAATGGGCATTAATAGTGCTCCAAACCTTGTTTCCCCTCCCATCCGCCCCGCCCAAAGTGTCTGCCTTTCAGCTTTTAATCTAAAGCCTGTCTTGGTCTAAGGACAGCTTCATGTACTAGAGTTCTCCAGCTAGTACCCTGGGACAAATTTACCACATACACCTTGGAGAAGGTTGTTTTTGTAATTTTCTTACTTGTATCTAATACTCCTGCACCCTTATTCTCTGTGACCTCCATGTTCCTCCTGGGAATAGGGGAGATGCTTAGGTCTTGACTTGCATCGTAAAACTGGTTGGCTGGTGTTTTTATTGCAATCCTCTGTGTTTGTATCAATATTTGGTTGTAACATCAAAGGTTAAATATTATTTTTGGACTGAATTTATGAAGCGGGGAAGAGCATGTATTCTATTTAATGTACTAGGTTTGACTTGTCTTTTTACCAAAATAAAAATAAAGGCTGCGTATGCATTGGCTTTGGCATATACTATTAAAATCAAGATCTCCCCTCCTACAGCGCATTTTGGGTAATGCTCACAAATACCAAAGTTCCCAAACCTATTCCTTTTTCGTATTTGCTCATTCACACACAAGAATTAATATTTTCAGTACAGAACATACCTGCCCAGGACCAGCAATACCTGCTGTATATCAGAGCCACTGAAAATATATTTCATATGTAAAAAATCACTGAGTGACTGTTTCACAGCGTCATACCCGCAACGCTGGTGAATAAGATGCTACATATTAAATGTCATAAATAATTTGAGAAAGTCCCCTTAAAATATCAGATTATATTTAATTCCATCGCATGATCACAACGCCATTTGCCAGATCCTCAGCTGGAGTAAATCAAAGTAGCTGCACTCAAGGGAGTTGTACTGTATCTATTTACACCTGCTGGGGATCTGGCTCCCAGGCATACAGGACATTGTACTGTGTTTTAAAATGCTTAATTAATAATATTAATAAATTATATTGTAGCATGTAGGAGCCCCAGTCCTGGACCCCACAGTGCTAAGCGCTATACAAACACAGAACAAAAAGATGGTCCCCGTCCCAAAGAGAAAACAATCTAAGTACACGGTACTGCATCCCTGCCTACTCAACCCCCCCAGAGCATTCGAGTGTGTAAGGCAGCCAGGAGCTGACCTCTCAGCTAAGTAAAATGAGGTTGATTTGTGAACATATAGAGACTCAAGAAATGGACTCTACCTACCTTCCATTATAGCTAATGCAGTTGGAGACACTGTTGCCTAGTGGATAAAGCAGTGGAATGGGAATCAAGGGCCATAGGTTCTATTTCTGTCTCTGCTACCGGCCTACAGGCTGATATTGAGAAAGTCAGTTCCCCTATCTGTGCCTGAGGATCCCCACCTGTAAAGTAGGGATAATGATACTGACCGCCTTTTGAGATGTTGAGATCAATGCATAACAAGCACCATAAGAGCAAGGTCTTATTATTATTTATACAGAGGCTGGTTTTCAAACCAGCCTCTGGCACTAAATGATTTGCAGGCACAACACCCAGATATGGATTTTTACAAGCCTGTTTGCAGAAAACAGTCAGTAGACGTACTAAGTGTGTGTGTGTGGGTGGGCGGGGGGGGGTGTGTGATTTCAAATACAGGGTTTGAAAGTTTGTCCTAAAAGATTAAGAGCATTGCTGTGACTCCATGCAACAACTGGTTTGCAGTCCAGGGAGGTATCACTAAAGGGGACAAAGACAAGGAACAGAACATTTAGACTCAATATCAGAAAAAACACCCTAACATCAAGATCTCATTGACTGTGCAATACTCTCCAAGGGCAAGTGGGAGAAGCCCCATCACTTGAAATATTTAAAACTACACTAGACAAACAATAATTAATCTGGCATACGAGGGCTGGGAGCATTAACGTTGCAGCTATCTTTTCACATGCACATTGATATTTTCACCGTACAGTAACAAACTCTAAGGAGGATGTTTTCAATAGGACCCAAGGGACTTAAGTGCACAAATCCCATTCAAAGTCAGTGAAGACGTTGCTCCTTAGGCACTTTTGAAAACCTCCCCCTAAATCTACCAACTAACGCTGCCATGCTGCATATAGTTTGTATTCTGCTCTTTGTCTCTTCCTCCCCAGCAGGTTTGGACAATAAATCTCACTTTAATCAGATCATTAGAACAGCTCCCTAGCTTTGTAGTACCGTCAGTCTAGGTAAGGCATTTCATATATATTCTTTTCAATTCAGTTCTAACCTGTGTCCTCTATTAAAAACACTGAAGGCCCAATCCTGCTGCAACCTTACCCACCTAAAATTCCCATTTACATCATTTGGTAGCTTTGGGTGCAGAATTGGGCCCGCTGCTCTGTTCTTTCTTTGCTGTTAGTTAATATACAGTCAGGAAAAAACTGAAGGGCTTCAAAGGAAACTACATTGAGCTACAAAGGCGAAGATGGTCTAAGTACGGCACTGGACTGAGATGCAGCAGATGTGGCTTGGATGCCTAGTTCTGTCACAATCATTCCTGTGTGACCTTGGCCACATCACTTAAGCACAGTGTCTCATTACCCTCCCCCCTCTGTAAAATGGAGACAACTGTTCCTTTCTTCACAGGAATGCTGGGAGGCTAAGATAATTAACAGGTGTGATATAGTCAACCACTACAGTGATGAGCCTCAGAGAAACATCTAAAAGTAAAGTTAGACATCTATATTTGCAAACAGAGGGGTAGTGGCCATTTAGAAACCTAACTAGGCCGCAAGTCTGAGCACTGGGTCCACCGAGACCAAGTCTGAAAGGGTTAGTGTGTGGTTCACTACCCACAGCTTCCTGAATAGCAAAACTGATTTAGCCTGCTTTAACCAACCTCATTTATCTCTCTCCTTAATCTTATATCTACACTGGTATTACAAGACAAATACACAGTCAGCAAGATTGTATTTCCTGGCACGTACTTGAGGACTACAGTAACTCAGAGAGAGGTTAGACGTCTATTACAGGAGTGGGTGGGTGAGGGTCTGAGGCCTGCAATGTGCAGGAGGTCTAGCTAATAAAGTCTATGAGCGTGAGCAGGCCTGCATTGGTCTCGCTCTCTCAGGCTGGAATCTCACACACATGCCTCTTATTAACACACATCTCCCTAGGTTAGGACCACTCCAATCCAAAACATACCAAGGTTGTTTGATTTAGCTGCAAACCCTTCAGCAGCTGAAGCAGGCTCTGTTCTCAAAAACCCTATAAAAAAAACTCAAAAGGAGTCTACGAAGCAATGGCACACACTATATGGGACAGCCTTGTGTGCCCAGCTATTTCATTACCGATCTATGAAGCCAGCCCTTCCCTGGTTTACAATTTTGGCCATTCTTATGAGGACATAAACTGCTCTCTGTGCCTGACCTTTCAGCCAGAGAAGCGCCCAAGGGCTTCTTTCCACTGGCCACTTTAAAGAATTCATCCTAATGTTAGCACATTTTGGGGCTTTCTGGTATCAATACCCAAATGAGCCAAATGCAGTCACGGTCTCTGATTTTGAGACGGGGTGGCAAGTGGTAGGAAATGGAGAACATGATTTCCCCTTTGGAATCACAATTATCCTGCTGCAGTACAGACATGCCACAGAGCCTCTCTGAGCCAAAACCACAGAATCTCATTTGGGCCCATTGCAGGTCAATATACTGAAAGATGATGTGCTCTCGTTTAGGAAACGCTGACCTTCTGATGATGGTGCATTCTGTGCAGAGTCACCGGGGTGAGCCAACCTAACCTAACACCACTGGTACACAGTCAGCAAGACCATATTTCCTGGCAAGCACTTTAACCAAAAAAACTCCATTGTCTCTCTCATTAGAGACCAAGCGTATTTATTCACAGACTTACAACATCCAGGACTATTCTGCTCCCTACACCCCTAGAGGGACCCTTAATGCTGATTGGTATAAGCTCACTGTTTCCTAGTGCTTCCCCACAACTGTTGTTTTATCCACCTGTTGTCTATAGTCTTATACATAGATTGCAGACTCTTTGGGGCTGGTCCTCTCTTTGTGATATGTCTGTATTGCATCCAGCTCCATGGGGCTGGGCCTCTAGGTGCTAGTGTCAATACAGACTAATTAATAATAATATTACCAGCATTTATGTATTTCAATTCCTGCACTCAAAGCCCACTGATTGAAATGCAAGTTAAATACAATAACCACCATGAGCACACAAGAGATTGTGATCATTTATATGCCAGGCAACTCAAATACAACATTGGTGGGGATTAGGCTCTAAAAAGGTTGTGTTTATAAAAATGTGTCTGCAGCCATTAACATTACTAGAAAAAGCACAATCAAAATCCACTCATTTAAATTATGTTGCTTTCACCCGTCAGATTGTGAGTGACTCTCTATCCCCTTATGAGTAAAGAGCTGATTATAAAAACTCTGTATTAAAACACCTTAAGCCTTTTTAATCTACAGATCCTCTTTGGGGTCCCTAAGCCCCTGGCTTTATAAAGAGGGTCCGTTGCCCTTTCAGATAGGTCACCTGCTTTGTCTTTGCAGGTGTATGTTTTTCATCCCCTTGAAGAGAAATGCAGGTTTCAAACACTTCTCAGGCTCCTGTGCAACACGGAACTCCCAGTGCCTTTGATGGTCCACAGTGGCCTCACCTGGCTCCCAGAAGCATCTACACATCGGTGGCTGTGCTCATGGGCATCGTAGTGTTTTCTGCCTCCTTTGTGAACGGTTTGGTCATTGTAGTTTCCATCAGGTACAAGAAACTCAGATCCCCACTGAACTACATCCTGGTGAATCTGGCTGTGGCTGATCTGCTGGTGACTTTCTTTGGAAGCACTATCAGTTTCTCGAATAATATCAATGGCTTCTTTGTGCTCGGCAAAAGGGTGTGCAAATTTGAAGGCTTCATGGTCTCTTTAACAGGTAAGGATGTTTACAGAAATCAGCTGGCTAATCTCTTTCTCTGTCTTCTGCTAGTGCAAATGCACTTGATCTAAAGCTGGTCTAAGACTAGAGACTATAGTAGCAAGTGTGGCTCATTAGATGTCCTTGGCCATCAAATGTCTCCTTGCCTCTTCTCAACCCATAGAACAAAGACAGGGTGTTATTCATGATGCTGAATTTGTTATTATTCTATATGCTCACAGGCACGGAATGGGAGAGTAGGTGCTTACTCACCTGGGGAGTTCAGAACACACTGGCTGAGCAGATCCTCAGGTTTGGTCTTGGGATGTGTTTAAAACAGGAAAGGAAGAAATAGAACATTTTTATATCACATGTAATTTATCATAATGACATACGTTGTGATTCCATCACTTACTGCTGCCCAAGCTGCTAGGTTGGATGTTCATGGGCTAACAAGGCAGAATGGTCAGGTTTCTGGTGATGGTATTGGTACAAAAATGAAGAAACAAGCTCTCATACATTTTGTTGTGAACAATCAGTGGCCAGCAGAGGTGTCTCTGTGTGGGCAAGGGGCACTGAAACGGGGTGCAGGGCATTTGCCCTGATGTCATTCCACTCTGCAGTGCTTTTATATCAATTGTAAAAAATATTTCTATGAGCATCAGGAACATGATGCATAAATTCCAGTGTCATGGTGGAAACACTCCAGTGGAGAAATTGCATTTCAGACACTCCTGCAGTTGGCAAAGCAAACAGAGTACCATACATAAGAATATAAGAATGGCCATACTGGGTTAGACCAAAGGTCCAGCCAGCCCAGTATCCTGTCTTCCGACAGTGACCAATGCCATATGTGGTATCACAGGCGTGTGCATGGAGTGCGCCAGGTGTGCACAGGCACACCCTAATGCAGGGGTGGGCAAATGGGTCCACTCTCCCGGTAGCAGCAAGCTGCTGGCCCCTCCCCCGCCTTCCCGGGCCGCCCCCCCTGCCCCCCCCTCCGCGGGTCTCCCCCCGCCTGCCACGCCCTCCCCCTCCCACCCCCGTGGGTCTCGTCTGCCACCCCCCTGCAGGTCTCCCTGCCCCGGAGCATCCCTGCCTGAAAGAAAGTGGCGCAGGCCTCTCCCATGCCTGCTTGTGTTGCTGGTGTAGCACATTCCTGCTCAACTGCTGTCTGCTGCCCCAGGGTCCTAGTGCCCCCCATCCCCTAATGGCAGGGCAGGCTGCCCTTACCCTGCCCTTCCGCCCTAGCCCTGAGCCTCTCCAACGCCCCAAACCCCTCGACTCCAGCCCCAGCCCTCATCCACCCTAATCCTCTGCCCCAGCCCTGAGCCCCCTCCTGCATCATGAACCCCTCATCCTCAGCCCCACAGCCCTCACCCCTGCACTCCCTCCTATCCCCAAACTCCCTCCCAGAGCATGCACCCCCTTCCCACACACACCCTCCTGCCCCCCAAACTCCCTCCCAGAGCCTGCACCCCCTCCCACTTTCAAACTCCCTCCCAGAGCCTGCACCCCTCACCCCCTCCTACTCTCCCACCCCCAGCCCAGAGCCTGCACCCCTCACCCCCTCCTGCACCCCCACCCCCTGCCCCAGCCCGGAGCCTGCACCCAGCACCCAAACTCCATCCCAGAGCCTTAGGCAGGTGGGGTACGGATACTAAGGGGCGGCACTCCGGCCGCTATTGGGGTGGCACGTCTGGGTCTTCAGAGGCAATTCGGTGGCAAGTCCCTCTCGGAGCGAAGGACCTGCCACCAAATTGCCACTGAAGAGTGGAGCGGCACAATCGCACTGCTGCAGCTTTTTTTTTCCCCCCACTTGGAGCAGCAGAAAACCTGGAGCCAGCCCTGGTTGGATAAGGGGTGGGGGCAGTCAGGGGCAGGGAGCAGGGTGGATTGGATAGGATCCCAGGGGGGTGGTTAGGGATTGGGGGGTCTCTGGAGGGGGCAGTCAGGGAGCAGGGGGGGTTGGATGGGGCATGGGAGTCCGGGGTCTGTCAGGGGTGGGGGATAGATAGGGGTCAGGGCAATCAGGGGACAAGG